CCTCACTTTGTCTCCATGGCTCCGCACTCCAGCCAGAGTGTGCTCTGTGAAGTTACAGCCCATGTGTCTGCTTGGCTCTGCAGGGATGTACCTGGGTCCCATTTGCTTAGTCTCCTTTGGCACTTGTTCTCCTGGGAGCCTCCTCTAAGAGATGGCCTTTTGTGGTACTCAGTCCCAGGATCCTTGCACCTATGCCCACCTGTTCCAAGTTGCCCTGTTGCCTGGCCCCCCAGAAACAGAGGTAGCAGTCCAGTCACCAGGTAGAAGGCCCAGGATTTGGGGGTGGGATAGGTAATATAAGGCTGAGGGCTCTAGCTACAGCATCTGCTGCTACTAAGCCAAGCACTAAAACAGCCCAGGTTATACAGTCCCCTGGTGTACTGGAGTGTGACATTACGGGCCTTGGGAAGTGATAGAAAAGACTAGGGCCAACCATGCAGCCTCAGCTTTGCCCTCCTGACTCAGGCCTCAGTGCCCAGGGCCGGGGCAGGTGTGGAACACAGAAGGCTGGGCATGGGTGCCTGCCCCAGAGCACTGCAAGAGGGGATGCAGGAGCTGCAGCCAAGGCAACAAAGGTGGCTCCCAGCTTTTGGTCCCAGATGGACCCCTGAGAAAGAGATGGGGCCTGGGAGAAGTGAGGGCTGCCTAAAGTGAGGGGGATGTGTCTGTCTGCTGCAGCCAGCGTGGACCTGTGCCACTGGGAGGGGGTCTCTCTGCATATGGGTACAAAGGCATCAATGAGTTCATCCCAGGGACTCCCCCTCAGACCTGACTAGGGCCCCCATGGCCATCCTTCTACGATCACTGAGTTGTTGGAAAAGTCCAGGGGATACTGGGAGCTGATGCTGGCCACACCCACCAGCCCCAGTGTGCAGCCTAGGGTGGGTGTCCTCTGGGGTCTTCCTGGGCTCACCCACCCTCTCTGAATCCCTCTGTGGCTTCCTCTCCTCCCAGGCTGCCTGGCAGTGCTGACCACACCACAGGCTTCAGAGCCAGATCAGACCAGTCATGGGATTTGAATCCTTTATTGACCACTGGGATGAAGCCAGGTCCTTCCAGGTTGGGCTATTGGATGTTTCCCTAAGGTTAAGTGGGCACTGAGGCCTAAGACTCAGTCTCAAACATCTTCTTGCGGCCCTCCATGCCAGACTTCTCCTCGATGTTCTTCCTCCAGTCACCCACATCGCGCAGGTCTCGTTCCTGGAGGAGTGAGAGAGGCCTCAGGCCCACAGGCCACAGCGCCACAGATACCCCAGCCTCAGTTTCCCTTCTGTAAAGGGGGTAGTGGAGCCTCCCCAACATGGTCCCCAAGGAAGGAGGGGAGCTACCCATTGGAGCAGAGCCTACCTTCTCTGTGTCTTCCTTCTTGACTTGCTTCAGGTTGGCCCGCAGGTCCATGCACACCTTGTGCTTGGAGCCCAACAGTGCCTTCAGCATGGCGTCGGCAGACATGCGCACCCGCCGCAGTGGGGGCCTCTTAAATTTGCCCCTCAGATCGAACAGCTTCTGGTTCATGTCCTCCAGCTGCCAGGAGAGAGGCCATGGGAGCGCCTGGGAGACCCCAAACCCCGGGTACCGCCCCACCATGGCCCCACCCAAACCACTAAGCCCCGTCCCCAGGCTACGGTCCCGCCCCCTCACCTCTTTGGTGCTCTTCTGCACCTTCACTTCCATGTCATACTTCTCCTCCTCGGCTGCATCAATCTTGGCATGTAGTTGTTTGCAGAGCTCCTGGGGTGGGGAGGGTGAGGGTAGGCAGTTGTCCTCACACCTGAGGCCACAGGGACCCACCCCTGCCTTGACCACCCCTCTGGCTCTCTTGAGTGGGGAAACTGAGGCCGGGGCCCATTGGCTGCAGGCAGCTGATACCTGCACTTCGGACATGGAGCCAGGGATGTGCAGGGGTGGGCAGTGCTCTGACAGGTAGTTTTGCTTCTCCGACTCACGGCGGCTCTCCTCCTTCTCCAGCTCAGTGGCAGCAATCTGGAGCATCACACTCTGCAGGAGAAGGGGGTGATGAGGGGCTGCTCTGACCCCACACTCTTGTCCCCACCCCTGAGCTGCTCCCACAGCAGTACCTACCTTCAGGTGCTGTCTCCGGGCCGTGATGGCCCTGTTGCGTTTCTATACGGAGCAAAAGGGACAAAGTTAGGCTGGCTCCAGACCCACTCCGTCCAGAGGCCTCCAGAGCAGGGGCTCCTGCCTGGGACAGCTAAACCAGGGGCTCACGGAGGCCTTGGTCCAAGCCCAGGCTTCATTTCCCCTGTTCAGAGCTTCCTCAGGGCCACAGTGCTCTGGCCTAATACTTGGCCCAGATGGCACGTGGGCTGGGAGGCGAGGGATGGGGCAGGAGAGCGAGGGAGGCTGGAGGTACATGGGGTACAGAAATCAGGAAGAGTGACACCCCTGTGACCAAGCCTAGCTCCACTTCCCCCGCCCCATAAGACACTGGGCAGCCACTTCCTCTGTTACCAGTCTCTGTGGGTGGGGCACTTTGGGAGTAGGGGTATCTTCCCTGGGCCGCAGGGCCTTGAAGCTCTCCCCTCTGACTTATCCCAAGTTGGGAGTCCTGTCCCCCTGCCTAGGTTTCAGTCCCCAGTCAGGTACTCACCTCCTCACTGTCCCAGGAGAAAGAGTGGGAGGGGGAGGGGAGAGAAGAGAGAGGTTAGGGTCACAATTAGTGGGTAGGGGGTAGCCATGGGTATGATGGAGCAGAGGGATGACCAGTGGCCAGGGTGGGCAGGGGGCGTTGCTGGGGAGATGCCAGGACCCCCACCCCAGTGAGAGGAGGGTGTGGCTGGAAGGGGCCCCATGTGGCGTGCCACTTACTCCCCCATCTTGAGGTCTGGAGCTTAGCCTGTGGGAAGAAAGAGAGGTGTCAGGGTCCACCCACAGGAGGCCAGCAGGCAGCTCAGCAGGCAGAGAGGCCCCCTTGTGCCGTGCCCTGACTCCAGCCTTTTTAGAGGGCAGTGTCTTGGAAGAATTCCCCAGGGTAAGAAGTAAGAGGAGAAAGTGTTCCCAAAATGTCCAAGGCGGGGCGAGGAACTGCAGCTGTCCCTGAGGGAGGGCTGGGCCAGGCCAGCACAGGTGGCTGCCAGAGCAATGCTGGTATTTTTAACTCTGTTCCTTTAGCCTCAGACTTAAGTGCATGCAAGAAAGTGCTCCCCGATGCGGCCTGGGGGCTCGGGTCCTGGCTAGCATGACCGCACACTCTTGCAGCCAGTATCCTGGAATTAAGGTCTGGTCATCAGAGACCTGTCCAAGACCCCTGCCCCATCCTAGACACCTCCCCAAGCTTCCACTTCTCACTCCCAACTCTATAGAAGCCTCCGGAGAGGGCTGCTGGCAGTGGCCCCTTTGCCCCCAAACCCCTGCCCCAGGAAGTCCTCCAGCAAGCTAGCTTGAGAGCGCCCTGTCCTCTGGCCTCAACGGGCCGGGCCGGGCCTCACCTAGAGTCTGGGCAGCAGGGCTGGGAGCGAGGTCAGGCCGGCAGCGGCGAGTTAGGCTGGTGGGCCCAGGGGGAGGGGTATAAATGGCCTCCCCCAGGCTGGGCCCCTGCTCAGAAAGGGCATGGAGTCCTCCTCAGACCAATGGGGGCACAGAGAGCCAGAGAGACCTCCCCACCTGCCCAGGCTGCCTGGCCTGGCCCAGCCCAGGCGATTGCTGCTGGCCGCTTGCTGCCATCCTGTCCAAGAAGTCTTCGGGGGGGAGAGTGTCGTGGTTGGGCTGCTCTATTTAGGGCTCAATGATGAGGCTGAGATGTCTCCCTTGTCTTGCAAGGAGCCTGAGGACAGCCTGTGTGGTTCAAGTGTGGGCTTTTGTGGACACCCAGCTCAGGGTCAGGGGAAGGCCCTTCCATGGGAGTCTGGCTCTGCATTGCCCCCATTTCAGTAACAGGTCCACCTTCCTGGGCTCACCCCAGAGCTCTGCTCCCCGAGTCCTTTACTTCTCGCTGGTGCCTGTTCTCCGCTCTGGCCCTATGGTTAACTGCTTCCACATTACCCAGGGCTGGCCCTTAGGCAAAGCAGCTACATGGCCCCCGCCCTCTAAGCCAACCCCAGGGACGGCAGGGACCCCCAAACCTGTCCTCCTGAGCTCTGCATGGTGACCAGGACCCCGGGGGCTGCTCTCCCCTCTGCATGACCCTGCCTTCCCACCCTGAGCCAGAGTAGGATGGGGCCCCCGGATGAGCAGCTGAGCTCCTCCCGGCCTTCCCCAACACCTGGCCCCCTGGCACTTTTGTACAGGCAACTCGGAACACGTCCATCAACCCCAGGATGGCAACACCACCACCCTAAGAACCTCTCTGTGGCCTGTGAGAGCTTGGGGCCCCACGTTACCCTGCTCACCCAAGCCAGGGCCCTCGCCCCCACCCACCCCTGCAGGCTCCACCCTGCAGAGGCACCGGCTCGTGACTTGGCACCCTTTCTGAGTGGTGGGGCGCTTGGCCCCAGCCCTGCCCGCTCCCCAGCCCGTGGGGATCAGAAGAGACATGAGATGCAGAAAGATTGGAGCCGCTAAAGCCATCCAGATGTGCGGGGATTAGGAGGTGCATCCCCAGCCAAGGCTGCCCCCCAAAGGCTCTGAGCAGCTTCTGAAGGTGTCTACTGCCCCCTGCTGCTCACATGGGGGAGACCTTGTGCTGCTGGTCCCTAAAGGTGCTGGGTCCCCTTCATATACTGTCCTTACCTACAATGCCCCCAGTAGCATACTGTGTCCCCAAAGGACCAGCTCCAGCTTCTCCTGCCATGCCATCCTTTACCTGTCATTGGAGGGGCTCCACCTCCTGCCTCTTCCTACTTGGGCCCAGAGGGCACGGGCGGCCCTTGGAGGACCTCCCCACCCCACCCAGGGGTCAGATCAAGGTTTTGTCCCAGTCAGAGGCTGAGGGCTGGTAAGTTTGGAAGGGAAAGACCCTCCCCCAGCCTTTGTGGGGCTGTGGGGTTGAGGGTGGATCCCTGCCCTGTGTATGTGTCCCCACAGGACCAGCGGGACAGGCATGGCAGGGGAAGGCTTTTATTAGAGTCCCACAGGTGGCCTAGACGAGTGCCTATGGCTCTGTCTGGGAAAACTGAGGACCAAGATGCTTTTAGGGGCGAGGCACTGGCAGGCGCAGGCGGGGCTGCAGGGCTAGGATGCGGTCCACCTCCTTGGCAGGCTGCAGGCGGTGCCACTGGGCGATGGGCCGCCGGGCATGGGCCAGCATGTCTGCCCAGTGCTGCAGGGGCTGGCCGGAGGCCCGGGGGCCTAGCAGCACCTTGCCCAAAGGCTCGGCCCGGAGCTGCAGGCCACGGGCCCAGATGGCCAATACCAGGTCCACACTCTGCACAGAAACAAGCCAGGGTGGGACAGAGGAAGGTGAGGTCAGATTGGCCCAGCACAGGTCCTGCCCCGCCTTGCCCTTCCTCCCACCAGCCCACCTGGACCTGGCTGAAGGGCACCAGGAAGGTGAAGGCTTCGTTGAAGTAGGGGGCAGTGGTGCCCTTCTTGCTGGATGTCTTCTTCTTCTTCCACTTCTTCTGGTTCAGCATGAGCTGGACCTTCACATAGGACTCTGGGCACACAAGAGTGGGAGAAAGACCCAGTCTGAGGGCTGACAGAGCCCCAGCCCTCTGTCCACCTGAGTGTGCATGTGTGGCTCTCACCTGCCAGCTCTGGGCTCAGGCCTCGGGCTTCTAGCACAACCACGGTCAGATAGCCGGAGCTGGGCACATAACGCAGTGAGAGGCACAGCTCCCCCATCTGCTCAGCCTGTAGGAGCAAGAAGTTTCACCGGGGAGACTCCTCCTTGTCTGGGGGGTTGGAGTTGCAAAGCTGCCACCCTGGGCCTCAATCTCCCCTGAGGCACTGGAAAAGGGGTCCTACTAGCTCTGTCCCTGAACTGCAGCCTGGTGTCCAGCGGCCTCACCTCATTGGTGCCCGGTGGGCCCAGCTGGTACCAGCACTCCACAACGTGCTGAGGATCCAGGGTACCCAGTGGCAGGCACAGCTCTCCCAGTGGCTTGTGCTCAGAGAAGCGATTGAAGTCCAGCACTTGCACCTGCAGGGTGGCACTGGGCAGCTCTGCCAGTGGGACCTGTGGGCATGGTGATGAGCCAGTCACCCCAAAGGCCACCTCACCCACCCACCCCACCCCAAGCCCCGCCTGAACTCACGTGGAAAGAGAAGGTCTCCTCAAACATGGGGCAGAGTGTGCCATGATGCACCTTTGTCTCGTGCCTGCGCCCAGCTTGTGTGGACACGCTGACACGGGCATAGGGGTCTGCCGTGCCTTCCGCCCTGAGGTCAGCCGCCTGCTTCAGACCCACCCTGATCTGGGAGGCAGCAGTGGGCTCAGCTGAGGGGACTTTCCAGGTCACCTCGAACACCCTCACACCACCCATCACCCTCCATTAGCCTCAGGACTCTAGGCCTTCTCCAGGGGCCCCCACCTCCTGGCTTCCAAAGTTGTACTCCAGGGAGAGCTGCATGCGCCCCCACTGCCGAGGATCCCCCAAGCTGGACTCCAGGTTCTCCACATCTGGTTGCACCTGGGGTAAGCAGGGACAGGGGAGACCATGTGCTCTCATCAGAGCCCTGGTATCCCAGCCTGCAGTTCCAAGATGTGGATCAAGCCACCCACCTTCAGGTCAAGCCTGTAGAAGGACTCACATCCTTAGCTCAGTTCTGTGAGACTGGCCAAATCCCCCCACATACGTCATCTGTTGCACCACTGCCTTCTTTAAGAACTTGCTGCTGCTCCCAGTGACCCATGAACAAACAACTGTCCTTCATTCTTTTTCTTTTTTGAGATAGGGTCTCACTGTGTAGTTCAGGCTGGCCTTGAACTCTCTATGTAGCCCAGTCTGGCCTCGAACTCATGGTGATCTTCCTGCCTCAGAGAAGCTGGGATTGTAGGTGTGCACTACCACACCCAGCCATATGTCCTCTTTGGCAGTGCCTCCTCCTCACCTTGCTCATCCTCTTCCCCTGCCAGGAAGGTCCTCCTGCCCCTGCCTCTGGGTGGATCAGACTGTCCCTGGGGGGAGGGGAGTGAGCTTGCCCTTGATCGCCTGGGCTCTTCTGAGCTCTGGAGACTAGAATTTGCATTGTCCTCTAGGGATCGAGCCAGCATGGAGCTGCTCCTCACCAGGTGGGTGGTGGTGCTGCTGCGGGCACTGCCCAGACTCATAACTTCCTTGTCCTGGAGCTTCTTCCTACGACGACGACGGCGTTGGCAGCAGCAGCAGATGGCACAGAACAGACAGGAAACAGCGAGGATACCGGCACCAAGAGCAGCGACAATGAATGCCCAGTGGGGCCCTGGGGTGGGGGCACAGGAAGCTGAGATGCCTTTGTGGACAACCTCAGTCCCCTGCCCCTCCAGGCCATCCCCACATTCCTCTGACACTCAGTGTCCTGACACTCACAGGGGATCTTGGAGACGAGGTCTGGAATGAGCTCAGGCATGGCCGTGGTGCCAGCTGGGGTTGGGGCGCTCTGGGGATCTGGTGGGCGACCCATCTTCCTGCTGGCTTGGGAGAGAAGGTCATGGAAGGAGGCCAGGTCACGAAGGTGGGCGGCTCCCCTGGCCCTAGCCACTATCTCATCCTCCTGGCAGCAGCCAGCACAGGGACTACTCGGGCCAGAAAGCAGTGCAGGGTGGCAGGCAGAGGGTTCTGAGCCCAGCAAGCCAAGCAAGGGAGGCGCTGGCTTGGCCAAAACTCCAGTTTAGTTGCCATGGGCCCAGCCTCCTGACCACCTCCCCCAGCTCCCAGCCTCTGCCCCAGCCATGTGGGCCAGGCTTGGGCAGCCTGCTCTCTGCCTTCACTGTCCCTCCCACCTCACAGGAATCTCCACTTCCAGGAAGCCCCTTCCTCCCTGCCTCTCTCTCCTGGGCCCTGGCTCTGGCCCTTCCTCAGGCCCATTTTATCCACGGGGTTGGGGGTCCTCTCTCAATGGCTCATCACATGCCCCTTTGCCTAAGGTTAATCATAGGTTGGGCCTATTCACTGTGGTCCCTGGGACCTGGGAGGGACCCAGGGGTCCAGGGACAGGCTGGCTGTGGGTGGGTGATCCTCTGAGCAAGCCTGGGCTGAAGATGTGTTGCTGGCATGGGTGGGCACTGGGCCAGGTGCACCTGGGGACCAGGGCAAGGTGGGGGCAGGCAGGGGCAGGGTGCAGCTGGGAGCGGCCAGAACATTCCTCCGCACTGACTCAGCCACCTGCCCAGACTCGCCTACTGCCTGCCCTACCGGCCACCCTTCACAGGTGGGTGGGAAGTAGGGTGGGCAGACAGGCACAGCTGCCCTGGGCCCTGCACCCGACCTGCCTGGGGCCTGGGGAGGGAGCATACCTGACCAGGCTGGCTCCTCCCATCCATGAGCAGGGAGGGCAGGTTCCTGGCTGGGGGCTGGGTTGTACGGTGACCCTAGGCCCAGGGAAGGCTCTCAGGTTCAACCCTTCTCTTCCCCTTTTCCTGGAGCAGCAGGGAGTCTGGGTTCCTAACCCTCCACCTCTGACACAAGACCTGCAACCCCTTACAGGGACACTCCTCCCTCCCACCCTCCCACTGCCCCAGCAACCAGTAGATGAGCTAGATCCACTCATCCCTGCTTCCCCCAGCCTGGCACAGAGCACAGGAGAGAAGAGAGGGACCCCACCATAACTCCAGAATTAATCCCCAACTGCTGCCCAATAGATGATCAGAGATGAGGGCACAGGCTCAGGAGGGGACCAGCTGTCCTGCCTCCCGCTGGGGGCCTAACATTGGAGTTCCAGTAGACCGAGGCTGGAGCCCAGCTACCTGACTCTGAGGCCAACAGAGGGGCCAGTGCTAGGTTTAAGGCCTGCTGTTGCTTCTTGAAATTCCTCATTTTTTAACAAAAGGAGGCTCTTTGTCATTCTGTACTGGGCCTCGCATATCGTATAGCTTGTCCATAATTTTTCAGGGGGCCCTTGGAGAAGCCCCTGCAGATCAGTATGGAGAGGTGTGTGCTATGCGCTCACAGGCATTGGCAGCCTCTCTGTCCCCATGGCGCTCCCTCCTTCCCAGCCCCACCCCCATTCAGGTGAGCTCCCCAGCCGCCAGGTGGTTGGCAGAGCAGCCCTCATGGTGGCCAGTGAAATGGGTCCAAGGTTCCTGCAGGATCCCTGGGACAGGACTGCCCCACCCAGGCCCAGCTTGGGGGAGGAGCAGGCTCCCTCCCACTGTGAAATGTGAGATCCTAAGTACATTCTGGAGTGAAGTAGCTTCGTTCAAGATTTTACTGTTGAAAATTGGAATATGTTGTCAGCATGGTCTCTTTCTGTGCGTGCATGTATATGCATGTGGCCCTCCCTGCACCCCGCTTGGCCCCATCCCACCTCAGGCTTCTAAGAGCAGGTGGGGTGGCCCTAGAATCCAGATTTGGTGCTACCAGTTGGCAGGATTCTCAGATGGCCTGGAAAACTTGTCCGCAGGGACCTCAGGTGCTGCCTGGAAGCTGGTCTTGGAGCATCCTGGGACCCTCAGGACACCACTGCTGGTCCAGGGTATCCTGAGGCCTGGAGAGCTTAGGGTCCCGGGGGACCGTTGGGTCACATGGTGATAAAAGTTTGGCAGGCAAGCAACCACCAGGTGGCACTGTCTGTCTCACTGGTCCCCACCCACGAGCAGACTGGCTTCTCCGGAGAGTGCCCAGGAGCTGGGGCAGTAGAGATACAAGTGACAGGGGTCTCCGAGAGGCTCTCTGGTTCCCACCTTACCCCCAGGACACTCTCAGCTGTGCTCTGGCAGTGCCTCTCTTGTTGTCTGTCTTTGGCGGTCAATTTTCCCTGGCCTACTCAAGAAAACCCTCTCTGGGATGCCCACTGGGAAGGGAGACGGGTCCCTCCCAAGTTGCTCTCCACCCTTTTCCCCATGGCTCTGTGAACCCATCTCTGCTCTGAGCTTCTGAGCAGAGCAGCTGGCTCATTCCTGCAACTGCCAGGCACCCCGCAACCTCCATTCCCTCCGCCAGGTCCCACTCCCCCTGAAGGCCCGTGTGCTCCCCACTTTGTCCAGGAGTCCTCTGTGGTCCCTGTAGCAGCCCAGTTCTGTGCTGTATTGCATTCTGGTCCCTCCTAGTAAGGAACCCAGGTACCCCCAACCTCCCTGTCTGCCCAAGCCAGGCACTTACTACTTCCCAGTTAGTCCTGCTAATTAGTTCCCTCCACTACTGGTCTAACTAGAGATTGGATTTCAGTGGGAACAATATTCTGTGGGCCCGTCCTCTTGAAAAGCAGACCCCCAGGTGAGGAGTGTTGCCCCCCAAGAGCGCAGCACCTCACCTGATGCCACGGCTCCTATGGCCAGCCCGCCTCAGGCCTTCCTCTCAGGCTCTGGCCACCAGGAGGCCGGTCCCACTCAGAACCTGCAGCTGGAGCCCGGCGTTTGCTCTGTCTCTAGTGATTAGGAGCATCTGGGTGGGAGGGGGAGCTGGGGAGGCTGGGCTTCGGGGAGCCCCACCTCACGGCCGGAACTGCTGGCCCTCAGGAGCTAGGAAACTCCCGTGGGGAGGAAGGTCCCCCTGAAAGCCTATGGGCTGTGATTGGGCTATGCCCTATCTGCAGGGGTCCTCAGGGGTCAGGGTGTCCTGAGCCCCACCAACTTTAGTGAGAGTGGGTGATGGGCCCATCTGGGTGACCTTTGTGAGGGGTGGACTTGGCTTGCATTGGCTTAGCTCACCACATAGGCTCTGAGTCACCGCTGCCTGGCTGGAAGGTGGCCTCCTGGCACTGCTGGCTCCACCAGTACCAAGGGTAAGAGGGTAGGAGCTGGGCAGGGGAGCTACAGGCACTCTGGCCAGGGCAGCCCTGGGGAGTGCTGTGTACTGCTCACCGGAGCCATCCAGGCCTACTTGGCCCTGCTGCTGTTCTGGAGGCCTTTCTGCTACCCCATGGTCTCTAGCTGGGCTGATCAATTCCTTCAGCCTTTGGTTTTCCAGGGAGCAGCCCCTCACTGGGTGGCCCATGAATTGCTAAGCAGAACTCCTTTCTGAGCTCTAACTTCAACGCCTCTCACTTCATCTGGGGCCTGACCAGGACTCACTGGCCAGGAACACAGCTCCTCCACTGTGTGCCAACCAGCTGATCTGGTCTGGTCACTCTGGGACCAAGGCTAGGGTGTCACAGCAAACCTCTTATCTGCTGCTAGAGGTCAGACCTGGGGCTGACTAACGCTTCACTGCAGAACCTGTTACTCTGGAACTAGGCCTGCGGGACCAAGAGGCCCTCACTCAAGGGAGTTTGGGGGGCCAGGCATGTGGGATATGTAAGCTCATATGCGCACGGATGGCTCGTGAATGGTTCTGGGCACATGGAGTATGCACTTGCCCCACTACCACACGGGGATGGGTCTGTCCCTTAGTCTGATCCAACCAGAGTGAGAGGGATTTAGAGGTAACTAAAACCAGTGGAGCCAGAAGCCACCCCAGCACAGCCAGGTCCACCTCAGCAGACAGGCATCTTTTCCCGGGGACAGGGGATGCACAGGTCCCAGAGTATGCTGAGCTACATGCCCTGTGAACGGCAATCCCAGCCTGACTGTGGAGGAGCTTTTTGCTTCCCCACCATAAGGGCGCCTCCGTGGTGAGGTGGCATCTGAGGTTCCCGGGAAAGGAAGGAGAAAACCAAACAGAGCTGGCAGCCGGCAGCCAGCCCCATGGCCAGCTCTGTGGCCCCCAAGACAGTGGCTTGGCAACCAGCGGCCCTGTGGAGACCCTGGCAGCAATCTTGGATGAGGATTCTTCCTTTGAGGGCGCCTGGGGAATGTTTGAGGTTGGAACACACAGCAGACGCTGGCTGGGGAGCCATGAACTCCTGGCCCCAATTTGTGAGATGTGCTGGGTCAGACACGTACTCTCTGCCTGTGCTGAACCACTGTGCATCCCACCCAGCCAGGGCACCCCTTCATCTGTGCCAGGGACGGCAAGGGCAGGTGCTCAGCTTGACACAGGCCTCTGTGGCTTCGGTGTCCTGTGCCTGTTCTGTGTCTCAGCCTGTGTGTGCCCCAGTCACTGCTGACTTAGCTATCTATGTGCTCTTCACCTGGGGGCCAATCTCCAACATTCAAGGACCTGAGGAAACCTAAACCGTATCATCCAGGTACTTAAGGAACCTGAACCCCTTCACCTGATACCCAGGGGTGCTGTATCCCCTCATTAGGAGATCCACGGAAGAGGTACCTTATCAGCTGACCACCTAGGGAGGCTGTATCCAAATATCTGGCCCTCCAAAGAGGATGTACTCCAAGATCCAAGCATTTGAGAAACATATGCCCCATCACCTGATATCTAGGGGGGCTGTATCCCATGACCTGGGCATCTGGGGAGGCTGGACTCCATCACCAGAGCTTCCAGGAAGGCTATACCCTATCATCCACGCATCTAGGGAACTTAACATATTGCCTAAGAATCTAGGGAGCTTGTTCCGCATTTGCATTTCAATGAAGCTGTGCCCCACCGTGAGGTGGGGGTGCCTGCACCCCTCTCTGAATACAACACTGTCTTATGGGTTTCTTGGGAATAAGGTCCATCTTTTGAAAATCCCCACCTAGTTTCCAGGGATATAAACAACACTGCCTGGAGTTTCTGAGTAAATCCTCCTCTCTCTGGGGAGTCCAGGGACACGTACCCATCTCTACATGGAACCCACTTGCCAAGTGGCTAAAGGGTCTCTGTGTGCCTTCCTCATTCACAGCATTTCCCAAAGGCCTCAAAGACCTGGGATTCAGGGCCTCATTTCCTTTGTGTGAGTACCATTCACCTTGTTTTGGTGTCCTTGTTCGTCTGGGGGAATCCTTGGAATCAGTGTCTTCACCCAACAATTGAAAATACCTAGGGTACACGCCATGATCACCTGAGTACCTGGGAAGCCTAGGTGACTCGCTCCTTGTTAGTCTGGAACAGAGACTCTCTGTTCTGTGGTCGCCTGGGTCCTGGGCAGTCTGTACCTAACGTGTTGGGTCCACTGAATCCCCCATTGACATGTTGCCTATGGGCCTGTGTGCTGAGCCCAGAGCCCAGGGGCCAGGGCCTCGTTCCTGTGGTTTTGGACACACTGTCTCATCCATCACACTGCTGTGTGGGCCCCATTCACCCTTGTCTGGGCTCACTATGTGCCATTCATTCAGGCACTGGGCCGCTCGCCCACCCCAAGCTGCCCAGGTGTCTAGGTCTGTACCTGTGCCCAGATGAGCTGACTCCCACCGCAGGAGTGATGGCAGAACCTGTGCCTGAGAAACCCAGGGTCTATATCCTGAACTCCATTTTTCTGAGTGTTAGAGTCTCTGCACCCCACCAATCTGAGTGTCTGGCCCCCATATCCCTCTTTGCTGCTGAGCTTAGTTGTCCATTCACTGTTTCCTTGTCTTTGTCCCATCCCCCCATGAGCCGTTCAGTGTTTGCAGATGGCTGTTGGAGTTCTGTGGCCCAAAGCCCATTCCTTGGAGAATCTAATGGCTTCCTTATCAC